AAGAGAAGAAAAGAGACAACCAACACTTAAAGAAAAAACAACACACACACTGCCACACAGACATTCCTAGAGACAAGAGAAGACAGCTGTGGTCTGTGTCATTGTTCGTCTGGTAGACAGTGCAGTTTCAAACTGTCTCCATGCAGCCTCCTTTATTGATGGCCATCACCATTTTATTGCTCTATTCTGCAGACAGGCAGTCGCACTCTAACTGAACTCCTCTACTGATGTTTCCTCTCTTGTGCCTTCTTCTGCTACGACCGTTGGTGCAGAGGGAAAAGAAGAAAGAGGGAGAATGACTCGTTTGTGAACAGTGACTCACTGATATTCTCAGCCTTCAACTTTGTCGGTTTGCCAGCAGCAGCAGCAGCAGCAGTAACCCTTTAGGAGATGGCGGCAGTGAGCCAAGTGGGAAACAACCAGTTTGCAGTTGGGAAAAAGGGAAAGAAGAGAGGCCTCAAAGAAGGTAGAAAAGAAGGTAGAAAGGAAGGAAACAGAGAAAGGTGCACACAGAGACAGTGCTGCAGTCTTTAATTGACATGAGGCACTCACTCTGGTGCTGCTGCTGCTGATGTGGTCGATTCACTGGCAATGGTCGATGCCTGCTACGATGATGATGATGCTCACAAAAAAGCATACATTGCGAGTGTGCCGTGCACAGGCAACCGATTGCATTCGTTAGAGCGAAGACTGCTGCTGCGGCTGTTGCCTAACGTGCCTACTTCGACTACCTGTTGCCTGCCTCTCTGAACACTCAATTCATGGTGTGAGAGTATTATTAATGAAATGTTATTACCAAGCTCCAACGTCGCCCAACAGCGCACTTTGCTGGTTGCTGTTGCTGTTTCTGCAAATGCATTGCTCATCATTTATTTGGTTATGGCCACGGTCACTTCTGCAGTTTCTGCTGCTGTTGTCGCGGCTGTTTGTATGCTGTTTATACTGTTTGAATGCGTCGTGAATGTTTAGCCTTCAGTTGCCCAGAGCAGAACTGAGCGTGTTGCCTTGCATTGCACACACTTACAAACTGTCTCTGGTGACTGGGCGATTGCCGACCACTGCGAGTACCAGCTGCAGACCTACATGCTGCTGCGACATCCCAACATGATCATTCCCCGGTACACTGGCGGTGCACTGCACATCTGTCTACCATCACCACCACCATTAGCTAGTGTGCTCGGTTAATGTCCACAAGGCAACCCTGGCAGACAAACAGAACGTGCAAGAGAGAAGGAGAGAGACTGCGAATGTGTCCATGTCACAGGCGGCTGGCCACATGGGCCCCAGAGCTAGTGGCGGTGGTGGCGGCAGTAAAGGAACAATCTGGAAACAGACAAACAGTCTGAGCAAGCAGTAAATTCGGCAAGCACATGGTCGCTTTTAATGGATTGCAGTCAGACGAGAGAGAGAGAGAGAGAGAGAGAGAGAGAGAGAGAGAGAATGGGCACTGATGAATGACACTACCCCTTTCACCCTGAAAGCACTTCGAGCACTATTCTACACTGCACTTTGAGCCTCAATTAGCCGACAGATCAAATGATGCTCGTTCTCTCTCTCTCTCTCTCCCTCAACGGTCTACTGACTGATTCTGCACACTCACGCACAAACACAGCTTGTCTTTCCCAGCGTGGATAAGATGGACGCGTGGTCGGCACACACTCGTCACCACAATGCACTCACCACCACCACCACCAAACTAGGCAATGGTCACAGGCGAAGAATGAATGTTCCTACTGCCTCTCTTTCTCCCTAAGGAGACATTCGAGCAGTGCTTTTGCTGCTGCTACTGAGCAGGCATGTTCAATCGGCGACGGCTGTCTGACCTGCCACTGCTGCTGCTAATGTGGCAAATGTGCGTGGGTGACCCACAGAGGAGATCAGCCGAGGTGCTTACTTAGGAGGCTCACTTTCTCTGGGAAAGAAGTGTGCAGAGGATGCAGCTGCTGCTGCTGATCTTTCCTGAACATATCCAGCAGTTAGAGCATGCTCCATCATACACTTTCTTTTTACTGTACTGAACTTTGTAATTTCATTAATGCTTACTGCTCAAACAGCAGTGTCAAAGTGGTACAGAAAAAAATCGGCAGTCTCGTGAATGACCTAACTCTGCTTTGTGAGCTTTGTGGTTGCCTGCACTGCTGCTTGATAGCCTGACTAGAAATCGATGAATGAAAGGTCAATGAGTAGTGGCGGCCACTTTAGTGTTTCAATTGAAATGAGTGAAATACTGCAGTGCTAGATTGTTCTCCGATTGCCGAGAAGACTTTCACAAAAGCAGCAGCAGCGTTTGTGCTTTCGCTGCCTGACAAACTGAACTTCCGTTCAGTCAGTGACTGCGGATGAACTTCTGTCGCTATTTCTTCTTCTGCTGCTGCTGTTGTTGTTGCCGTCGCAGTTGAGGTCCTAATCGAGAGCAACGACAGCTTAAACGCTGATCTGTAAAAGGCAACAGCAACGGCGACAGTGTAATTTACTAATTGCCAAGCGCACACAGTGTCTGGCCGTCTAAACACTGTCGCTTCCACTTTGGGCGTCATCCGCTTTAGCGAAAAAGTGGTGGTGGTGGTGGTGAAGACACTGAAGGAAAGGGAGAAAAAGAAAGACATAACTAAACATTCGATAGCAGACACACAGAGTTTGCTGGTGAGCAACTGCTGAGTTGAGCTTTGGGCGAGAAGATCTTTGGTCTGAAAAGGGATCGACTCGTCTCGTTAATCAATGCAGCAGACGCAGCACAGTAGAGCAGAAAGGGAGTGAGAGTTATTTGCCGGCTGACATACTTGGTGACACACAGTTAGAAGTGGGGAGCAGTAGCTGTTTTTACTACCATCACCACCACTGATTTGGCCAGCAGCTCAATTGAACATCAAGGTGTTTTAATAATAGTGTTTCTAGCGAGAGAGTTTAGTAGTCATTAAGGAGAAAAGAAGACGATCAGCATGAAAAGGGTTGCAAAGGTCGCGGAAAGGGGAATTGTGTGCTGTACTGAAAAAGATAAAAGTTTCAGAGACAGAAAGCGATTCACCTTCCGATGAGATAGCGCTCAGCAGTGAAAGCACTACCAATTTACAGTGGAAGTGGGCAATTGGCCGTCAAAGTTGCTACTGTTGATGGTGATGGTGGTGGTGATGAGGATGTGATGATGGTGCCTGACAACACTGTCACTTTCCCCTTTCTCTCTAATCGGACATCCCTTCCTGCTGGGGAGCAATGTAGCAATGTGCAAATACACGAGCACAAGCAATCACACAAAACACACACACTCTTTCTCTTGATTGCTAATCAACGCTTTCTGCTCATCAGAACCAATTTGTGGTAATGTTGACATCATTAAATTGCCCACAAACGGTTGTCTTCTTTTGAAGAGCCCAGGCCTTATCAAGCAGTCGTTCCCTAAATTGCAAGTTTAAGGTTGAAATGCGCTAATGAAAAGTAGCTGCTAACTGCTCCAAAGATCAATAAAAAGAGGAGAGAGAGAGAGAGAGAGAACCGCCTTGAGCGCAGGCACTTTTGAATTTCCCGCTCTTGGTTTCTCCTCTACTTTCCCAAATGAGAGAGAAAAGGCACCAAGAATAGCTCAAAGCAGACACTGCCTGCACATTCCGGCGCACCGGGCTCTCAAAACAACCACCGACTCGGAATGATCAAATTGGAAAGACGCTCTTTTCTGAAAGAGTACAAAATCCTCTGTTTGCCACCAGAAAGTGTGTACTCTACTTCATTGCACCTTACGACGGTAACACCATCAAGTAATAGGAGAAGAAGAGGGGTAGGGATGATACCGTGAAAAACACCAAAAACTCGCTGACAAACATAGAGACAACAAGACAGACAGCGACGCCGGGCGCCATCTGCGACAGGAGGGAAAGAGAAAAGGAGACTCTTTCCAAATAGGGGGATTGCCACTGCTGCAGTGGTGGTGGTGATGGACAGGACAGGAGAGAGCGGCACAAGGTGCTTCATGATAAGAGAGGAGCACTGTGTGCAACGTCAGTGGTCGGTGCTGCTGATGCTGCTGCTGGCAACACTGACTCAGCGCGGTGGAGGCGCGCACCTCTCAGAGAGAAAGACAACATGGCTGATAAGCAGTGAGTGAGTGTGGACGGCGAGCGACCGCCTCAATCGATCGACAGTTGAATTTTATGCCCATATTTGGGCAAAAGTCGGCGCAGACAGACCGCCAAGGGCCGCCTATCGTCGTTTCTCTCTCTTCTCTACTGAGCAGCAGCAGCTCCATTTCCGACTCCACTCGCCTCTTCCAGTTCTCCTCTCCTCAGTCTCCTCTTCACGGCGGCAACCACTGACTGGTCTGAAGGAGCAGCCGAAACAGCCGACACATTCAGCGACGCCTGTCCTGTCCTGGCCTGGCCTGGCCTCAACGATCACCGACCACTGACGACGGTTGTGGTGGTGGCAGCAGCAGCAGTATTATCGATAGCCAACTCAGGCGCTCTCTCCTCTCTCCGCCGTCTGACAGGAACGACCAGTGTGGCGATATAAAGAAGCCGGTTTGTCCTCAGTCCGTCCACTGTCCAACGAGCACTGCACCCGTCGACATCGTCGCCACTCGCATTNAACGACCAGTGTGGCGATATAAAGAAGCCGGTTTGTCCTCAGTCCGTCCACTGTCCAACGAGCACTGCACCCGTCGACATCGTCGCCACTCGCATTCCTCTCCCTCCTCTTCTCTTCTTTCACCCACCACCACCACCTCACCGGTAAGTCTGACAATTCTGTCACCTGCGCCCCGACCCTTCTATATTCCGTCGCTCTCCACCGTCCCACCTTTGACCGACTGACCTTGACACCACTACCCTGATGCAGTAATCGGGTAGTGGACGGAACACAACCGCACCGCCTGAAGACTCTTCTCGGATTCTCCCATTTCCTGCAGTTGTGCCAAGTGTCAGTCGGTGGTGTCGGTGTTGTCCTATTTCTCCTGCTGGCTCTTGTTTTGCTTAATAACTAATCGGTCTCTTCTTTCTTTTCCAGAACTCAAAATGTGTGACGACGATGTTGCCGCCCTCGTGATCGACAATGGAAGTGGCATGTGCAAGGCCGGGTTCGCCGGTGACGATGCCCCTCGAGCCGTCTTCCCCTCCATCGTCGGACGCCCTCGTCACCAGGTATGCTTTGTTGTTGTCACTTTCTAAAGTACACAAAATAACAACATTGTTTTTTGCTTTCCGTAGGGTGTCATGGTTGGCATGGGCCAGAAGGACTCGTATGTCGGAGATG